TGTGGGGGTACCCATCGTGTTAATTCACCTAAATCGAGTGCCATCCTCTTGATCAGCTCAATTTAAGCAACATAGCAACTCAATACAATGCATACCAGGCAACTCAATCACATACACGCTCCAATCTCATGCTTGTTCCAGAAACATTGTTGATAACAAATAGGATTTAAGAGAATAGGGTTACTACTACATCTAATGCTTCGATCAACTCTATCCCTGCACTAGGTTGCCACACGTGTCGCTCATCTACTCGTTGAGTTACACGTAGCTCATCTTGGAGAACACCTGTTCCAAGGTCTTCTTACCTTTGCATTCATCGGAGCTAGTCTCGGAGAGATGCCCTAATTACTTGCAAAACAACTTAACTGCTACACTGTGAGTACATTGCATACTCATAGGACTTAATTCCAACATTTAAGATTTAGTGGATGCAAGGGTAATTATCAGGAATTTGTATGGTTGTGAAAAGCAATGACATTCGTTAAGGGTATGACATGCAATACTCAACATTAGAATTTCATTATTTATCATTATAGCAAAAGTGCTCATAGTCCATCATTCATTCTACCATAGGTATAGAAAGAAAGAAGAACCAAATAGTTCCGTCCCAAAGGACTCCAGGCTTTTAAGGCACTATAGAGGTGTACAACTGTACCCACACGGAAAACGGGACTAACCACCATACACCGGGTCTGGTAGTAAGGGTTTCCTCATGTTCTCCAACCTTTCCCTAATCCGGCCTGAGTGTCACATCAAAGGTTCGACGGGGTTCCCGGTCAATGCCCCGGACATTCCCGACCGGCGCCACCCCCTTGCTAGTTTCATCGATAAACAGGTCGCAACTAGTTACTTGGCTTGTCGACCCCATCCACGACATGTGGTCTATACGGGTGGTTGCTAGGACTTACGTATCCCAATACTCGGTCCTTACTGCTCCATGAGTTATGTCATATGAAATCACACACTCACGATGATCTACCCCTTGCATGAGTAAGATATCCAAGGTCTCATCAAGATTATTACATTAGGGACATCATTCCTTATCTCAATTGGTTAGATAGGTCAAGTTGTACCCTCATTGGTTTTAGTAGTTAATTATCCAGGTGTAGCATCCTCATGCGCGAGTATGAGTTCCCTTCTCATGCTCGACTTCTACCATTGCCCAAGCAACTAAGCAATACGCATTAAGCGTTCCCATTCCCATTATTAAGATGAGAGGCTTCTAACAGATTAAAGAGTAACTCTAAGTGTTATATGAAAGAGTTCATTATCCAACTCTACATGCAATGCATAACTCATAATGTGACTTGATAAGTATCCAAAGTAGGGTTCGTAATAGTGGGGTGCCTGCCTGATGTGTTGCCGTTCAGACATCTAGAAGCTGACGATGACATCCTATATGCTCTTCTCATCAAGACGATTCCTGAAAAGAGCGAGAGAGATCCGATTGGAGAGATTCACCGGTGATTCAGAACGATGATAAGGAATGTGGATAGATCACCATTGGTTAGTAGAAAGTGACATCTAACGGTTCGTCTACTGTTGTGGTGCTAGCTTGGGATACTAATTAGTATTATTGACTTGTTTGGGTAAGCTTGTTAATTAAACACACACTCTCTGTGACTGACGGACACTCCACTGTGCCGGGTGCCGGCGTGAGTCATCTCTGGTTGACTCTGTTTAGGCTCTGGCAGATGCTCCGTGGCATTCATGGACGCTCTGATAGGTTTTGGGCACTCTCGGGTTACTAGGTTACTCTATATATTAATTATTGGATGCTCCGAAGTGAGTGACGGGCGATCTAGTAGGAACTAAGTGCTCTTGGGTTCTTCTGGCTGTGAGTCTTTATAATTTAGCGGATACTCCGATCGATAGTCTAGCACTCTGTTATTCACACTCATAAAGGTCTAGGTGCCTCTGCTTGGAGGTTTACTAAATTGGGGAGGTTTATTGGACACTCCACCGCTTTGGCAGACACTCCGCCAACCGGGCAACAGAACCTATGCTCTATGCTCTTGGGGTTGGTTAGTTGCTACTTTGGAGTGGTGAACATCCATGCATGTGTACTAGACTTCTAGGATGACCTTGGGGATATGCTAGGGTAAGGTTAGCTAAGTCTTTGGGTTTGGCTATCTAGTGCATCTTGTGATTTGGCTAAGTCTCTTCCCACGAACCACTTGTGATAAATACATGAGATTGAGCAAGAGGGCTCAACTCCAAGATTGGGGATCATGAGATGCTAGACTTCATGATGAGAGATTGAACAAACCTTGCCTTTGTGATGAATGAGAGGTCACCACACTCCATGATCCATACATGCATGAGAGGTTGAGATTAGGGTTTGTGAGAAATCTTCAACTAAAGAAATGAGGGCTCATGAGCTAACCATGATCATAAGATATGGATGGCTTGACCTTGATGAGATGATGATCTTGGATTGCATCCCTTCACTTCATCTTCCACCTTCATCTCCATTTCCAACCTTCATCTTCACTCTCTAGTTCATCCTCACTCCTGTTCCTTTAGAGAGAGAGGGAGAGGGTGAGAAATGGGAGAGTGAAATGGGTTGGTGCTGCTTCAGCTGCATTTGACAAGTGGGGCCAAGGGTTGAGTGGAGGACATCTCATTCCCCACTCACTGCATGCACTTCAGTTACTGGCGGATGATCCAGTATCACATCAGATTGTCTAGTGGTCTCTGAACTCATGGAATTGATCCAAATACTTTGAGATTTGGCAGTGGGGCCAACTCACTTGTTCCAAGGGTTAATAACATGACCAGTGACATCCTGGGTTGAGATACGTGCTCCTCAGTGATTGTGTTGACTATTGTCAACTTTATGCGCTTCTGACTTGCGGGTTGTCTGGTGAAGTAGAAAAGCAGTATATCCGCGAGTTCTATGGTATCCAAATGCACGTAGGGATTTATGCAGAAACTTCTTCAATTATCTATAATTGAGAGCCTAGGTGATTGTAGCGAATTCGGGTCATTACACATGTTGCTTATGAATACAAAAAGGGGATGCTACTAAAATATTTACTTGTTATGTGCGGCTGATGTTTGGTGAAGTTTAGTAGCATCCCAGGGTGTTTGTAGATTTTGGGGCGTTTAATTTGGTATCAAAGCCTAGGCTATAGATTTTAGGTAAAATAAGGCTAATTTGACACACTTGCACTTATAGGATGGGAGTTGGATTTTTTATATGCCCATTTACTACCTTTTTTTTATTGTACATATATTTGGTTATGTTTATATGTGGCTTAACCTCTTGTGGTTGTTCTCTTAGCTGATATAGTTATATTTTCTTTAGTAGTAGATGTTTTTGTATTGTTGTTGTTTTGGTATGTAGGACCTAAGAAATTTGGAATCTTGTAGAGTAAGTTTTGTCTGTCTTTGCAGGTGGGTCGTTGAGTAGAGGGCCCCACATTTGCCTCTTTGCTTTGTTAAGTCAGGTTGTCTAAAAGTTAGGATAAGTCAAGTTTTTATATTCAAAGTAAATAGATGAACGATGGATGGATGGACGTCGTTCTTAGTGCCGCTCGACTCATGTCCTTCCCTTTGCTAGGTGTTAGTGCTGGTCCCATGTTGAGCACGTATTTGATCGGGTGGTCTTGATTCTAGTGATGGCACCTCATCACGATCTAGTCCCGACCCGACCAGCTTTGATGCCACTTGTCAGAGTTCACTGGAGAAACGATGACGGTACGCCGCCGGTGAGCTGGACAGCATACTCACACAAACTTACGCGAACACAATAGAATAAAACATAGAGGAACACGATCTCGCTTTGGTGTTGTCTAACATCGTTTTTTGACTATTGAAAGTAATATAGCACTATTTACAGAAACTTGAAGATTAGGTCACGAACCCATGACCCAAGATGCATGCCACCTCTTCTTTGATGCATGCCAACCCAAACATCCCAGACATGGTGCACGATACTGTATCGTGGGAACACAATATGCGCCAGATCCGAATAGCGCACAACTGGGCTACTGCCATATGCATACATGTGCTAGATAAAAAAATTAACAAGAAAATATGCTAAGACACACTAAGCACTCATGTGTTATTTTTAATAGGAGATGTCAGGATTTATGGTGCCAGGATTGCAGAGAAGGGAGGAGGCTCGACCTTACCGACCCAGGAGGCGATGTAGATCGCTAGATCAGGCCAGGAGACTACCATTCCAACACCGCTTATGTGGGACGCTAAGGGAGACGACGGGTACGACGGTGAGAGACCAAGCTCTCCTTCTCTCGTCTGCTAGTCACGATCACAGTCGTCGAGGTGAAGAAATTGAAGGGAGGCGACGCAGGTGGTGGCCGCCTCCTACTGTTTGGACTGGATGGGGTTTCTAACCTGAGGAGATCGAAGGGCCGGGCACAGCGTGGCAGTCAGCAAGCGACGGGAGACTAGGACGTCGTGATTTAAGGAGAGAGGCCGGCAGGCGAGGAGCGACGGTGGGGGTCATGGGTGCGAGCTAGGCAGCGAATGTGTTTTTTTTTTACCGAGGGTCTGGGTAGAGTGCTCATGCTGGGTGGCCGAGACGAGACCGGATGGAACACTCGCGCGGAGGAGGCGAAGCAAAGCCGGATGGATGATTCCTTTTTCTGCCTTTTATTTTTAGAGATACAAATCGTGTATGATATGCTGACTTGGACAAACAAATGTATGTTAGTGGATCAGATGACGTGGCTTATTGTATAGCTTGCGTGAATGTCAGTTGCATGCGCTAGTGTTTTTGTTGAGGTAGAACGCTTGCATATTGTGATAGACTTCTAGTCTGGTTTAGAATTATAAAATATATGGATATAGACGTAAATATAGATATAGATATAGATAGATATCGATATAGATATATAAGTAGATGTATAGACATAGATTTATAGCAGGCCTTGAGTGAGCCAAAGTCTTATATATAGCGTAAACTTGCTAGACACCGAACATTTGCAGAATCACAGGGCGCAGCTAAAGCCTAAAACCAACAAATATAAACCATGGGGACCAAAATCGCTAGCACCACCTCGTGTTCATCCCCCTCCACAACTGAGTCTGACCACCATGGTGGTGGCGGGCACATCTTGGTCCTGCCGTACCCGGGATTGCAGGGCCATACCAACCCGATGCTCCAGTTTGGCCGCCGCCTCGCCTACCACGGTCTCCGCCCCACCCTCGTCACCTCGCGGTACGTGCTCTCCACCACCCCGCCCCCAGGTGAGCCCTTCAGGGTGGCCGCCATCTCTGACGGCTTCGACGATGGCGGCGTATCATCCTGCTCTGACCCCGCCGAGTATTGGCGCCATCTTGAGGCCGTCGGCTCGGAGACGCTAGCGGAGCTGATCCGCTCCGAGGCCGCTGAGGGGCGGCCCGTGCGCGTGCTGGTCTACGACCCGCTCCTGCCGTGGGCGCGGCGGGTGGCACAGGCTGCCGGGGTGGCAGCACCGGCGTTCCTGTCGCAGCCATGCTCCGTCGACGTCGTCTACGGGGAGGTGTGGGCGGGGCAGCTGCCGCTGCCGGTGGTGGACGGGAAAGAGCTGTTTGCACGAGGGCTGCTAGGTGTCGAGCTCGGGCCCGACGACATGCCGCCATTCGTGGTGAAGCCGGACTGGTGCCCTTTGTTCCATCGGGCGTCGCTGCGGCAATTCAAGGGGATGGAGGACGCCGATGACGTGCTCGTCAACTCATTCCACGAGATCGAACCCAAGGTGAGCTCACCGTGACCACGGCCGGCACATTCTTTGATTCCACTTGACCATCATAAGGTTTATTTTCTTTTTGACACATTTGCATTGTTAACTGGGCAGGAGGCAGATTATATGGCACTAACATGGCGCGCAAAGATAATAGGCCCAACGTTGCCATCATTTTATCTTGATGATGACCGTTTGCCGTTGAACAAGACTTATGGTTTCAACCTCTTCAACAGCAGCGAGTCATGTCTGGCTTGGCTTGACAAGCAGCTTCCATGTTCTGTGGTTCTTGTATCCTATGGTACTGTCTCTGATTATGACGAAGCACAGTTAGAAGAGCTTGGCAGTGGATTGTACAATTCTGGCAAACCATTCATTTGGGTTGTGAGGTCAAATGAAGAACACAAGCTGTCCAATGAACTCCGTGACAAGTGCAAGGAATGCGGCCTTATTGTTTCTTGGTGCCCTCAGCTCGAAGTTCTAGCACATAAAGCCACAGGTATGGGGAATGGTTATTCTTATACATATAATGGAATATGAGACAAAGTTGATAAGAAATATAAAATTTAGTTGCATACTTTTAATATGCAGGTTGTTTCTTCACACATTGTGGATGGAACTCGACACTAGAAGCAATTGCTAATGCTGTGCCAATGGTGGCAATACCACAGTGGGCAGACCAGCCGACCATATCAAAATACATGGAGAGCATGTGGGGCTTGGGTGTCCGGGTGCGCAGAGATGAGAAAGGCTTGGTGACGAGGGACGAAGTGGAAAAGTGCATCAAGGATGTTATGGATGGGGATAGAAAGGATAAGTATAGGATGAATGCCACTATGTGGATGCAAAAGGCCAAGGAAGCCATGCAGAATGGAGGGAGCTCGGACAAGAATATTACTGAATTCGCAGCAAAGTATTCATCAAATAAGTTTTCAAAGATAGTGCATTAGTTACTTTCGGTCTTTGTGGATTGTATGTGTTACTGTATGTTACATTATGTCTAGAGGTTGTAGGTGCTACTTTGTGATACATACATGGAAAATCCTTCTGTGCTCTAGTACTCTAATGAAATAGGGATGTTCCAGATATAAAAATATATATACTATTATGCTGCATTTGAAACGTTGTAAGCGTACAGTTTTTTTTTTTAATAAAAAGAGAGCATTATCCTGTGCCTCGTAAATGTTACACACTACAGGAAGACGGAGCATTAGTGGTAAAATTGTGTGGCCAAATTTATCTTTGCCACTAATGCGCATACTATTTGTGACAAAACTAGTTTCCATCACTACTACGTTGGTAATTAATGGCAAAATACTAATTGACCACAGAAAGCATCTTTAGTGGGCAATCGAGTGGTGAAACATTGTTTTGCCACTATTTAGCAAGATATCTATGGCAAAAAAGTGTTTACCTCACTGATATAACAATTATTCATGGCAAAAAAAGTTATCGCCACAGGACTCACAATTTGTGAGAAAATATTTTGGCGAAATTTAAATTTGCCACTACTTCCATACTATTTGTGAAAAAACTAGTTTCGATCACTCTTATGTCAGTTATTTGTGACAAAAATATTAACTCGCCCCAAAAAGCATCTTTAGTGGCAAATCGAGTAGCGAAACATTGTTCTTCCACTATTTATCAAGATATATGTGGCAAAAAGTATTACCTCACTGATATGACATTTATTAGTGGCAAAAAAAAAATTATCGCCACAAGGCACACAATTAGTGAGAAAAATATTATGGCAAAATTTAAATTTACCACTATTTCCCATACTATTTGACTACACCCTCCATTCCCTTATACAAGGCGTGAGCACTTTTTTGGTTTTTACCGTAATATAGTTGGCGGGCTGGCTAATCGAGGCAGGTAATTACTAGCGTAAATAGAAGCGAACTGTTCGTTTGCATGCAATGGCCCCAACTGTTCAATACTGCTAGGCAAAATCTGTGCTAGACGCTGCTAGCCTACAACGGAACAACCAATCAGATTCGCAAGCTGGCGGCGCGGGTGATTAATTCCAATAAGCTGAGTTAATATGCACTAAGTCATTTTGGACATCAACACAGTCTCTAAAAAATAACTTTGACCGCTAATTTTTGCTATAAAATATTTATAGAATATAGTCAATATATACTTTTATAAAACTACATTTCGAGATGAATCTACTTACATCACTTTCATATTTTTAAACTAAACCGAAAAGAATTTATTTGTAGTCAAAGTTTAAAATATTTGACTTAAGATATCCTGAAAACGACTTTATTTAGGAACGTGGAGGGAGAACGCAGTATCGCCCAGCTATCTTGGTATCTAGAAACTCCCTTCTCACGGCATGCAATGCGAGAAAATTAACTACAGTACGTGATTCCCAAAACGCGGCTCGAACCGCGTTCGCACAATCGCGACCCCAACATCGTCCCAAACACCGCCTAAGTTGTGGCCCTGCTCGAATATGACAAAAAAGGCAATGAATGTATGCACTAGCAAGGCCATTTTCCTTCGCTACTCGGCCGCTGCACGCCTGCTGCCTGTGCTCGCCTCACTAGGTTAGACCTCCGCTGGCACCACCGGTGCGCAGCCTCGCCGCCTCGCGGATCCCGGCGTTGATGGTTCGTGTCGGATAGGGCAGGCACGGTTCATCAGCCGGTGGCGGCGGCATCACCGGGAGCCCTGGATGGACAGATAGGCAGACCACATTGGAGCATATGGGCTACAAGTACATGACTACATGCTTGCCCTACCGGCCCAAATAACAATTGTCAAGGACCCGATGAATGCGGATGCTCATTGTCGGTGTTTTGAGAACCGACGAGTAAATTTAGCGCCGTGCTGCTCAAGGGAGTCGATGGCTAGCACTCACGACACAGAGAAATTATACTAGTTTAGGATGAAGCCCTACGTCCAGTGCCGTAGATTGCGAGTACATGTTCCTAAATGTCAAAGTGCTCCAATTGGCATACAACAGGGGGGTATGCAAGCTAAGGTTCTATTGGTAGAAGGGATTCGAGGTAGGAGAAATCGATTGTCATGGGAGAAGGCCTGGCTCCCCTTATATAGCCGCTGGGGCCAGGTTACATACAGAAGTATAGAGTTCTCCTGACCTGAGTGGCCAGGAGCCCGAGGGAGGGAGAAACTAGTAAGCTTGGCCAGCAATCCTGCCAGTCTTGTCAACATGTCCGGGCATGGTCGTCGTGAGCTTGCTCCTTACGCCAAGGCATAACTTATGGTGGTGGAACTATGCTGGTTGTGGCGGCATTGTGCCGGCCATGGCGGCGCCACGGGAGTTGTGGTTGTTTACCAACTCCCCTGTGCGGCATGAGTTCATTGTGGATTTCGTGGTCTTCATCCTGGCATCCGTTTCTCCGAGGAGAAGTCGTGATGTCACTGTATGGGGAGGATAGGTGTCCCTCACCGGCCTCCCGCTCCCTTGGTCATGGCTCTATTGTCCCAACCTCCCGTGGTTGGGTCAGGGCATAGGATCCGGTTAGAGTGGGAGAGCTGGCTCCCGGTCGTGGTGCCCATGCCATAGTGGGTGTGCTCGTACGCCCGTCCATCAGGCTAGATGGGATGTGGGTGGTGCTAAGCCACGTAGGGTGGTTTCACTAAGTCCTAGTGTTGTCTTCTCTGGCAGTGGAGTGCTGCCCAAGGTGACGCTCTGCCCCAGGATCGGACGGTCAAAGGGGTTGCCATCCTTCTTGTACCTAGTGGAGTGCACGCGTGTGCACGTCCTATCTGGTGGTGCATTCAATGCGTCCACATGCCTCTCATCCTTCCCTTAGCGGCTAGCATGCATGGTGCAAGGTCGAGAGGTGGGATAGGTCGAGGCAGGCCATGTTTAGCTTGCCTTCACAATTATTTCTAAATCGTAAAGACACTCGGGGGCTATTGTTAGGATTATATAATCGGGATACCGCAAAGCTCAGCTAGCTGGGCCTAGAGCAACTCTTATGACCGAGCTTTGGGGTATCCCGATTATATAATCCTGACAATAGCCCCCGAGTGTCTTTACGATTTAGAAATAATTGTGAAGGCACTATTTTGAGCGGTGTTGGAGTGGTTGAGGCGTTACTGCGGGTAGCATCTTCTGCCTACCTTGTTATGTGCCTGTGCCTCGGGGTGTGGTGTGTATGCTTGCTAGTTGTCGGCCGTCCGAGGCGCCTGTCATCTTCATTTCGATAGGTCAAGTCGACTGGCATGCGCCGACCATGGTGACTCGGCCTACCATGTGCGGTCTAATCTAGACTGCTCTCCATGCTACGAGCTTTGTGTGCATTAGGGGATCTTTGAGGTGTAAGCCTGTGTGTAGGCTTTATTTTGGCCGTTTCGCATCATGCTACGTGGCGTGTGACTCACGCGCTACGTAGTCGCATGCGAGCCTATAAATTGGGAGTTATCCCCACCGGTGTTCGTCTATCCTAGTTGACTATCTAGCCACGTTTAGGTGTTCTAAGCTCATAGGAATAGGAATAGGATGCGCCCTTCTAGGGGCCGGTTACGCCGGCTAGTTGGTGGTGTCATGCCTTCCAACACTTGATGCTAGAAGAATGCTTGTGATCAGCGGGAGATAAGATGGCGTAGCCACTGAGTTCGTAGCCCCATGACCTCCTCATTCCCCGAATCCTTGTGGTTCGGGGGTTCGAGGCGGACGCTGGCCGAGGACGACTCCGATCGGCTCTACTCGTGTTCTTTCCCCTGCTCATTGTATCCTAGAGGCTATGATGATAGAAGAAGGTTTATGAGGTGTTTTCCTCACCTTGACATTCTTGCATGTGTAGTTGGTGCCTCGAGGTTTCCTACAATACCATTGCTACAGTGTATCGGGTTTTTTTTTGTCTTGTATGTGGCTCGGCCGCACTCTCATTGTAATCGCTCATTCTAGATGAATTAAGGGAAACCTTTTAGTGGTGTTGCCCGCTTTTCATGTGGTTGCGGCTAGTCCCCGAGGCTTTCATTCGAAGTTTGCTTTCATGTTCCCTGATCTAAGTCTAGTCCCTATTCATGAGTGTGGGCATGCGATGCGCGTTGGTCGCACTTCTAGGAATCTTTCTGCTTTGGTCAAAATTAGTCCTGAACTATTTGGTTAAACGTCAGGTCACTTTGTGAGAGGTTGACCCGCTGATCCTTGAGTACCTATCCTTTCGACCACTATGTCAATGGTCGGAGATCGGGGCACTCGAGATCCTAGGTCGCCCTTGTGGTCGAGAACCAAGCCTGGGAGAGGCGATCTAGTGGATTTGCTCTGACTTGGTTGAGGTTGCCAATCCCCGCCTTCCTTTGCCTTCGGTTCTTAGCCTATTTTTTCTCCCTGCGCGAGGTGAGACAGTCCACGTTAACCTCGCCAGTCGAGCAGTGTGCCTCGTCGAGTATCCATGGGTAGTTCGAGTGAGACCGGATTGTCCCCCAACAATCGACGTGGAGTTCATCTATGCCTCGCTGGGAGATGTCTCATAAATAGTTGATAGCCTATCCTACCAATCCCTGATGGTCTCAGCAGTGATTACAGGGCAAGATGCCTCCTCAGAGGGGATTAACCCGGGTGGCTTCGAAGCCAACGACTCGAACACAGGGTGAGGTGGTTGGGAGACTCAGCACCTCCTGATTAAGGCCGCTTGTCATGGGGTTAGAACCACGACAAGCATTGTTGTTCGAGGTGGTGTCAGAGTACGTGGCTCGGATGGACTCAAGAGCATAAGAATCACAGAGAGGATGCAACGGTTTATCTTGGTTTGGCCAATTGGTGCTCTACGCCTAGCAGCTGATGATCCTTCTACTCAAGAGCAACCAAAATTAGGGGGTTACAATAGAGTGTGCAGGACGAAGAAAAAGATTTGGTAGGGGTTAGCTCGGTGCTAATCCTAAGGTTGCCTCACCACCAGTGGAGACTTCCCCTCATCGGAGAGGAGGAAGACGATGGGTGTGGTGGAGGAGCTCTTAGTGCCCC